CCATTTGACCGCACACCTGGATCTTGATGGGCTTTATTAACCTGTTGGCAGGCAAAGCGTATACAAGGCAAGCTGGCCTTGTTTTGCCTATCTGGCCGAAGAAGATGCCTCGCGGGTGAAAGGAGTGAGTGAAAAATTGTTCCATCGGTTGGTACTTCTTCCAGATTGGTCCAGATTTGTTTGCACTACAATTGTTGCACAATTGAAACAAATGCATATAAATTTGATGTCGCAAAGGTCACATGCCCCTGTGAATGGGGTGGCGAAAATGGCGGCCTTGGAGAAATTCCACCCGTGACCCCGCATTCCGGACAGAAGTTTCAATATGTTTGTCTATATAGTTGACGCAAGCTAGGAGTTTAGTCATTCGCGTCGAATTGAGTGAGCATTTCATTGTTTTTTCCGCAGCCATTTGGGCTCATCAAAAGTGAGTCAGGCGCGCTCACATCCCATGACTAAAATCAAGGGCGGACGGTTGAAGCAACTTGAAGAGAATCCACGATTGATTGAAGACTATGTGGATCAATGGAACAAGTTCACAAGTTTGAAACAGGCCGGCGCTTGTAACTACAGCTGTTCATGAAGTTTCGGGTTTGAGCGGCAGGTGGGTTTATCCTTTGTGCGAGCCTACAGTGACAAAGTCTTTGATACAGAGCAGGTTGTCACAATCAAGGATTTAGAATTAAACCCTGATGTTACTAAGCTGAATTTGTGCTTTTGCCAGTGCGAAACCGTTTGGATTCCACAATTTTGACGTCAATTTACAAGTGTTGTCTTTCCATGTTCTCAGGTCATTGTTGGCGCCGTTCTTGCTCAGCCTCCGGAGACGAGGATTAGCGAAGAAGTTCTGTCAGCCGCGATTCTTGCCTTTTACAAAACCCATCACAGTATTCCCCTTGGGGTACACGAGGAGGTGTTGATCAAGTGGGCTGGTAAGCAAGCGTATGGACTTCGTGAAATGTGTTCTCGGTTCAAACGCTTGCTCTGGGGCAGCAAGAATGCCAAGTCTCCCAAAATTCGAGAAATGAAAAACACTTACTTCCAGATGAAGGGCAGTTCTGCACCAGAACCAGTTCTTACAGATGAGAACCCTCCAGATGCTCTTCAGCTTGTAGAGCAAGGACTCTTTGATTGGAGCGTCCTGGAAGGAAAGGTGTCCCAAGCTCTTGCGGCTGCCGAGACCAAAAAACTTGGCAAACTGGCTTCGACGGACTCCATGGATTCTTCAGAATCTACCGCGGATTTGCGGAAAGGCAATGAATACTTGCTTCCGCTGAATGCCAGGCACTTATTCTTACTATATTTCACAATCCCAGAATGAGACATTTCTCGAGGTCGTCAAAGCCTTGGAGTCACGGACTTGTCCGGAACCCATTTCAGTTGAGCCAAACCAGAAGGAACAGGAAGATCAGGAATGCCTTGAACTTGATGCACCAAAGCCAAAACGAAAGAAAACAACAAATCCAGCCAAGAAAAAGGAAAAGAAACAGGAAGTGTCTGCAGAAGAGCCAAGTGCCAAACCTTTGGCTGTCGCTAGTGATTATCGGCCTGGTTCTTTTTCTGAAGCCCGGAAAGAATTTATAGCTTCCAAGAGGAAAGCGTCCGGTGTTTCGTATGCTGAAGCCAACCAAGCTTGGATGCTCAGCTCACAAAGGGCAGACCTGCTCTCGGGAATGTCTCCTCAGGAGCTTAAGCGCCGCAAATTTACCTAGCTGCTGTGTTTTCTCAGGGGTGTTGTTGGCGTCCAGCCAACTAGGGTTTTCGATTGGCTCAGGGGAAAGCCCCTGGCCAACCAAATCGATGGGGGCTTCGATGGTTAAAAGTGTAGTCAGAAGAACACAGTAGATGGTGGTCGCAACTTAGCAGTTGACAGAGTTGACAGTTGAAACAATGGTTACATTTTTGAATTACTTTGGTTCAGAGCAGCAGTCGCGAACATTCATAACCAGTGCTTGGAACAGATATGTGTGCTTAGCATGGTCAAGTGGGGTGTCCCAACTCCGGTCATCCTATTGGTGCTCCTTCTGACGCACAACACACTGGTACCAGGAGAGCAGGACTGGTTTGCTTTTGGCTTTGCATCCGTCACAGGAATCAAATCAAGAACGTTGCAGGACCGTGATTTCTGTGAGATTTACGCTGGCAAAGGTTTTGTTTCTTCTGCACTTCGGGAGGCTCCTTTGTTTGTGACCATTTCAACCCCCTGCTTTGTTGCTCCTTGGTCAGGCCGGGTTCGTTGGCACGTCATTGGACCGTGACTATGACGTGAATGGCGGCTCATTTGACATCACCAAATCTGCTGGTTTTTTGCAGGAAACTCAATTCAATGCTCTCGTTCAAGTGTTTTAAACTATTTTGCCACTTCCTGAGGCTTGCAATCAATGAAATTCGGCGGATGAAACCAGGAGGCTTACTGATTCTTGCACTTCCCTGCAACTCATTTTGCAGACCGTTGGGGCCCCGTGTTTGATGCAAATCCGTTTGGTGTTTTGATATATTTTTGAGGTCGAGCGGCACCCACCAAAGGAGTATACTTTTCCCTGATGGAAATGCTGGATATTCTGCAATATCAATTGGTAATTTGCTGGCGTGGCGCACGATAGCATTGGCATTGCTGGCTGCAAGCATGCAAATCCGGTTCTTGATTGAGCAGCCTGAAGGAAGTGCGCTATCTGTTCACAGAGCTTTTGGGCGTCTGTGTGATCTGGTAGAGGACAGATGTCTTAAATTGCTCAGTGAGTTTGTTCCTGTTGGGGTTGTCTTGCTCTGGAGTTGCTTGATGGCAGGTATACAAAATCTCGATCTGGCACGGCTTGTACAAGTTCTACCAGAGCACTCCCAAGCGTCAGCTCCTTTGGGGAAATGACAAATCACTTTTGGAAAGCATTGTTGTTGTTGCTGGTGTTTGTCCCAAAGGAACGTTCTCCTGCTTCAAGGGGGAACCTTTAACCAAAAGGTATCGAGGCCCTGACGGAAAGCCTTCATGGTGCGGGAATGGGTCGACCATGACAGCTTCACAGACACTCGCTTTCACCACTTGCTGTATGCTATGACGTTTTTGTCAAAGTCATGTCCTTTTCCAACAGTCTTGTGACAATTGATCTTTTCAGGACCTATTCCAAAACTTTTGGAATTCATTTGGCAAAGCTCCTGAGGGACACGCAATCCTCTTCTTGGAAGGTGGGGTCAGACAATTTTGTAGTTGAGTTTGGTCATTCTCAGTTTTGGGAGGCATTACCAAAACAGCCAATGCATAGCACCGCCGTTGATGGAGATCGTACTGATTTTGAGATTTTTAAGGACCTTTGTTGACAAATCATCTTCTCAGTGATGAACTTATATTTGCTTGCAGGAGCTCGGCTTCAAAAATGATGGGTGTTGGAAGGAGGTGGAAATATAATTCACAGGTTGAACCTTTCTTGTTCTTGGCTGGCAGGCTCAATTTGAAGCTCCTCTTCGCTACCTGCTGCAGTCAACCCATTTGCGACCATCTGGCCGGTGGGATGGCCTCCTGCAAGCTGCTACCAAAGAGTGGCTGGGTGAATCCTCCCTTTAAAGATCTTTAAAGGGAAAACAGATTTGGGAGTCCAAGCCCATGTTTTCCGGGCTTGGCTGGGGCATTTAGAGTCTCCGCGGGCGTTTAGGGTCTCCGCGGACCTTAGTGGGCGTTTAGAGTCTCCGCAAAATGAGGTGCGTCGAAAAGCATCGAAACAGATCCATTTGCCCATAAAACCACCATTAAAACGATAAAAATGCGTCGACAGATTTTGTTGCAAATCTTGCATCACCTTGGTAGCTTTATAAACTTGTTTGAAAGATTTTCAGACCTCAAGCCTTTTGTGTGAAGCTCTTCCTTTCTTGGGTCATCGCGATGATGAATTCCAAAGCCTTTGAAGAGTTGAAGAAACGGCTCGGCGGACGGGCCCCTACACCAGAGGAGTTGTCCAGCATGACTGGTTTGGATGAAACAACATGCATTGCTCTTTTGAGGGGTGATTCTGATCTCCCTCCCGTGGGCGAATCCAAAACGCGGAAGAGCCGAGCGGCGTCTGAGCCAAAAGATGCCAAAGCTACCGCAAAGGCTAAGTCGGCTCCAAGAGCCAAGTCGGCTCCAAGAGCCAAGTCAGAACCAAAGCGGAAGCCGGCGCTAAAAAAGCCGGAGCCAAAAGCCAAGCCAGAGCCAAAGGCCAAGGGTAGGTCAAAGGCGAAGGCCACCGAAGAGTTGGAATCGCAGCCGGCTCCAAAGATTTCCAGGAAGAATGCACATGTCATGGAGCCTCCACAATGTGAGGATATGGATGTTGATTCGGAAGATCCAGAAGAAGAGGAAGCCGAAACTGACCCAGTCGTTGAATTGCCGGCAGGTGACACACACCCAAAGTCTGACCCTACGACGGCTATCCAGCGAAAGTTGAGCTTCAACATATTGCCTAAGGACTTTGGTTCGTTGCTTCAATTGAATCTTCTAGTGCGGTCTTCAGAGCGCTAGTACTGGTGTTCATGTTCTGAAGGATACTTTGGATAGGAAAGGGTCTGAAACTCAGAAGTTCAATTTCCGTCAAATTTCCGTGGTCTTTTTTGAACGCGTGTTTTGTGTGAGGTCTGTGGAGACTTTGGCCAAAGGCCTTCATGCAGTTCAGACTCAGACACCTGAAGGGCCAGTGCCTGAGACACAATTCTTGCAAAGTCCATTGATATTTTGTTCTTTGAGGATGGAGCGCATTGAAAGCCAGGAGACAATTCCAGCCAGCGCTCAGGAGCTGGCGGCTGCTGCAATGTGCCCAGCTGAGCTTTTGGCCTCTCCCTCTCAGCCCGAAGAGATCAAAGAAACCATTCCTGATGATCCTGAGCTGCAGACTCCGCCAGCCAAGCCCACAGTGAGGGATGCCTTATCCACTACTGCGGTTTCTGGGGATGCCCATTTCAATTCTTCCCAGAACCCCAACGACTATGCAAAATTCATGCGCTTTGGCCAGAAGAAGATTGCAAAATTTCCAAACATGGCCAAGATGTTCAAGGCAGGTGGGAAAGAGAAGTTGGCTCTTTTCCAAGATTGGATGAAGACTGGTGGCAACGCTGAGATGATCGAATCACAGCTGGTGATGAAGTCTTCTCAGAAACATGAAGGGATGGCCAAACAAGAATGCTTGACGGTTGCGCAGATGCGAACACGTGGCTTTACCGAGTATCCCAGCCAAACTAGTAACTAGATGATGTTGTTTTCATTTTAGCAGTTACACAGTTGATTGATTCAATTGAATTTCCTTGCTAATCACAACATCTCAGGCAGAAGATTGCAGCTGTGGTTGCAAAGGGTCAGGGGATCCCCGATCCAGAGTGTCCTACGAGCGTTGCTGATTTTGCCTATTGGGTTATCACGTCCAGAGAGCGAACTCAAGTGGAGTCGGTTGAGCACACTACCCAAATGAAGGCAGCTGTGCACTCCAACGACGCTATGGATGTGTTTGCAGGTACAGATGATGGTCGCCTTGATGGCTTGCTGGGGGTTGGACTTTCGTCAGGCGAAGGCCCGTCGGCAGCTGATCTCTTGAAGTTTGTGACTGACTCAGCAGCGTCAGCATCATCGCCGCCAGGCGCTGCTAGCTTGCCATTCACGGTTGCATTCATGAAAGTAACTAAAACATCTAAAACACACATTAAACTTCATTTTTGGTAGCTTCAAGGTGGAGCCCCATCGGCCAAAGCCAAAGCGAAGGCCAAGGCCAAAACAAAGGTTTCCAAGGCCGATGAATTTACAGCCAAACTGGCAAAAATGACATTGGACGAGAAGAAGGTCTTGCTGCGCCGGGCCCTTGTTGATATTTTTCATTCAATTCTAAGATGGTTTGGAATGTGTCTGAGGCCAAGAGCTGAAGAAGGAGATCAACGCCGTGAACTCGCTCCTTTTGGACGTGACAGCCTTGCCGCCTTCCAAGGAAGGAGTGGACTTCCAGAGCTTCATCCAACAGCTCAAGGATCAAATCAAAGAGCTCACACTGCTCTTCAACAGGCAGACATATGTTGTTTGTATTAAATGTGTTGATCCTTGCGCTGCATTCCACCTGGCAGTGTTCTGGCGATCAAAGATGAGAAGATGCTGGATGAACAAGTGAAGAAGATCACGCATGAGGTGGAGCCTCACCTTTTTTGTTTTTGGGCCTTATTCGTGTCATCTTTCCAAGGTGACGGACACCCGGTTCATCAAGGCCCAAGCCACGGCGGTGGTGAAGGAAGTCAAAAAGTCCTTCTGCCATGTTTTCAAACACCCTCAAGTCTTTAAACCATTCATTTGCATGATTCAGGGGGTTCAATGTCAAATGAAGCTGGGAACCTATTGACCTCTTGCTCGTTGTGTCTCTCAGATGTTGTGCTTCTTTGAGGCATTTTCCGGACATCCTGGATATCACTTTGGCGCCTTGAGGTTTAGGTGGCAGCTTCTTTTTGAGACGCATCCCAGGTGTTGGTTGGCAGTTGAATGCAAAACTGTTTTACATGTGAACATTTTTGGTTCTGGGCTTGTCTCTGCCAGCGGGAAGCTTTGTGCAATGCACAAAGTTGTAGGCAATAGGTCATTTCTCAGACCATTTTTTGGTGCGCGACGGAGTTGCTGGGGCTCAAGGCTTGAACACTAGGATCAGGAGCAGAAAAGGGGGCCTGGTTCAATGTCATATTGAGTTTGACCTGTATTGAATGGTATTTGAATTTGTTTTGTGGGTTGGCGTTCTCCAGCTACCGAATTCTCAGCTATCCGGCGTGAGATCGATGAGAGGACTGCTCTGCGTGTATTGTTATTTCTTTGTCATGC